AATACCAACTGCAATCAATTTTGAATTTTCAACTTTTGATATTTTAAATAAATCACTACAATTTTGTATTAATTTTGTGGTTATAATTTGAGAATGAAGTATATCAAGTCGATTATAAAAATCCTAGCAGCTACAGTAAATTTTGGACAGTCATATTTTACTCCATTAAATAAATCACTTCAATTTTGTACTAATATTGTTATAATTTGAGAATGGAATATCTCAAGCCTATTTTAAAAATTATATAACAACTAGATTAAATTATGAATTCTCAGATTTTATTCTCAAATAAATCGCTGCGATTTTAAAGAGTTCTTTGAAGATGACTCATTTGAGAATCGAGTATCTCGAGCCCGTTTTGAAAATCGACGATCAAACAACAAAACGACGATTTAAAATAAAATTGATAGGAATACTAACTTTTCAGTGCTCTGTCTAAAGTTCAACATGGCGTACTGCAAAAGCGAGTGCTTTCCATCGTTCACCACCGGCCCGCTCTCGTAGATGCCATCTTCTTGCAGTCTGCCGTTGTCTTCCGGCTGCCGCCATTCCTGGTTAGGGCTGAGCCGCTGGTTCTGCTGGTTTTTCTGATGGTTCGTCTGGTTCGTTGCCGACACGTGGTTCGGCACACGACTCGCAGGCACGTGGTTCTCGTGATTCGAGATAACATGATTAGACTGGCCGTGGGACTGGACATGATTCAACGAACCGTGGTTCGCCTGCGATTGAATCGATTTTGTGATCTGGGACACGTGATTCTCGTGGTGGTTCGACTTGTGCAGCGGCTTCTGATCGACCTGCGAGCAAACCGTGTTTTCCAATTAGTATTATTTCATCGTAAACATTGTAACTTCTTGGAAGAATCTCTTGACGAGTCTCTTAAAAAAATAATCACTCCGACCGTTTTCGTATTTTAATTCTATTTTCTGTACGTTTTCGACGGCGCATTGTATAGTTGTAAGTAAACCGTGGATCTGGATGCAAATTAAAAATGTTTCAAATTATTCGTAAAAAATGGAAATTGGATGAAAATGTATTTCTTGTTTTAAGGAACTTAATAAGTTGAATACCACTTAATGAGTTAATGGATTTCAAATCTTCCATTATACATCTTCACTGTTATGTAATTAATTTACATAGTCTCGTTACAAGCGCATGAAACTTTTAATGCACTCAGAAAAGCAAAATCTGGATCGGTTTTTTTTCTCATAGAAACTAGAATGAAGATAAAGTAAAAACGTAACTATATCATCATAGGTATCACATATTGCACTTGTGTATATTAGGAGAATATTATTTATATTATTTATTTATATTATTTATGTTCTTATATATTTATCATTTTCATTTTTAACGTATCTCAGAGAAAAGAAACTGCTAGCAGTGTTATCAAGAGCATTAATTTCTTGTGAACTGTGCTTACATTGAGTTTCACAAATACGTTTGTTGATAGTACTAATACGATTAGTAAATTAGGTCAAGCTGCTGGTCGAAATTCAGTCACTCTCGCCAATATCCAGCTATTCGATCCTCTCGTTATTTATTTATCGATATTCGAGAAAGTAGTTTGCACAGTTCAAACAAGTGGATAGCAAACCATTTCTATCGATAAGATACCTCAACAGAAAGTGCAGAAATCGCGAAATGTAGGACATAATCTTTTTGCATAATTTGTTTTCCAAACGTAAAATTTCTTCGGCCGTAATAAATTTTTAGTGGTTTCAGCAACAACGCTTAGCCAGCAACGAGTCGGACTTAAAAGTGCGCGTTCGTGCAACGAAAGTCGCGAAATTGACCTTCCGCGCGGTTCACACCGGAAAACCGGGAGCCGCATCAAAGGAAATTGTTCGGCCGTTTCCCAAGAGAGCGACAATTATAAAATGATTAATCATACATTTTAATTCGCGCGGGACTGGCAGCTCGTATTGCAAGTGACACCCGGACAATTAGGTTTTAGCAATTAGCAAATAACTGTTCGCTTGCCGCGCGGAATTGTTTTCAAGCAGCGTGTTATTTTTCAGCAATGTAATCGGCTGTATTTTGTCTTTTAATGGACGCGCGACCCTTCCGTTTCCTCTTTCACGATCGAAATTACGTTCGGCGGTGTAAATTACCGGTGTAAAATCCTCGCATGACGGCGATACGACGCCCTGGTTTCGCAAGTGATTTACACGAAAGGTTTCTCGACCTTTCCTACTATTCATTTTCTCTTTCGCCTTCCATTTCCTGCTTTTCACCGACGCCGTCACGGATATCTCGGATCCATCGATCGATCTCGCGGACGAGAAAACGGGTTTCCTTGCACGCGATCGAGATCCAGAATAGGAATGTGGAGAACATGATTAGTGGGCTCCGCTGATATTATTTTCATCCTATTCCACACGAAATTTCTGTATTAATCTTTCAGAAACGATCACCGGCTATTAATTCTTTACAAATATGCGGTTTAATCTGCGCTTTCACCGGGGAGCTTTATTTATTTAGTTGTCGCTTTTAAGCGCTCTTTTTACTTAAACCCCTATCACTTTTTACATTCTAGCAAATCATTTATATTTTTCACATTCCAAGCAATTACTAACTTGTTTCTCTTTCAGGAAATTATTCGATTATTTTGGCAATTATTCATATTATTCATATTCTAGATAATTTATTTTACTTTCGAACAAATACTAATTTATTTCAGAATTCAGAAATTATTATTCATATTTTGTTCACATTTTNTATTATTTATGTTCTTATATATTTATCATTTTCATTTTTAACGTATCTCAGAGAAAAGAAACTGCTAGCAGTGTTATCAAGAGCATTAATTTCTTGTGAACTGTGCTTACATTGAGTTTCACAAATACGTTTGTTGATAGTACTAATACGATTAGTAAATTAGGTCAAGCTGCTGGTCGAAATTCAGTCACTCTCGCCAATATCCAGCTATTCGATCCTCTCGTTATTTATTTATCGATATTCGAGAAAGTAGTTTGCACAGTTCAAACAAGTGGATAGCAAACCATTTCTATCGATAAGATACCTCAACAGAAAGTGCAGAAATCGCGAAATGTAGGACATAATCTTTTTGCATAATTTGTTTTCCAAACGTAAAATTTCTTCGGCCGTAATAAATTTTTAGTGGTTTCAGCAACAACGCTTAGCCAGCAACGAGTCGGACTTAAAAGTGCGCGTTCGTGCAACGAAAGTCGCGAAATTGACCTTCCGCGCGGTTCACACCGGAAAACCGGGAGCCGCATCAAAGGAAATTGTTCGGCCGTTTCCCAAGAGAGCGACAATTATAAAATGATTAATCATACATTTTAATTCGCGCGGGACTGGCAGCTCGTATTGCAAGTGACACCCGGACAATTAGGTTTTAGCAATTAGCAAATAACTGTTCGCTTGCCGCGCGGAATTGTTTTCAAGCAGCGTGTTATTTTTCAGCAATGTAATCGGCTGTATTTTGTCTTTTAATGGACGCGCGACCCTTCCGTTTCCTCTTTCACGATCGAAATTACGTTCGGCGGTGTAAATTACCGGTGTAAAATCCTCGCATGACGGCGATACGACGCCCTGGTTTCGCAAGTGATTTACACGAAAGGTTTCTCGACCTTTCCTACTATTCATTTTCTCTTTCGCCTTCCATTTCCTGCTTTTCACCGACGCCGTCACGGATATCTCGGATCCATCGATCGATCTCGCGGACGAGAAAACGGGTTTCCTTGCACGCGATCGAGATCCAGAATAGGAATGTGGAGAACATGATTAGTGGGCTCCGCTGATATTATTTTCATCCTATTCCACACGAAATTTCTGTATTAATCTTTCAGAAACGATCACCGGCTATTAATTCTTTACAAATATGCGGTTTAATCTGCGCTTTCACCGGGGAGCTTTATTTATTTAGTTGTCGCTTTTAAGCGCTCTTTTTACTTAAACCCCTATCACTTTTTACATTCTAGCAAATCATTTATATTTTTCACATTCCAAGCAATTACTAACTTGTTTCTCTTTCAGGAAATTATTCGATTATTTTGGCAATTATTCATATTATTCATATTCTAGATAATTTATTTTACTTTCGAACAAATACTAATTTATTTCAGAATTCAGAAATTATTATTCATATTTTGTTCACATTTTAAGAAATTATTCGTATTTTTCAAATTCTAGGTAATTATTTATTCATTTTACTTTAAGATAAATATTACGTTATTTTACTTTCAAGCAATTATTCATTTATGTTACATTCAGGAAATTATTCAATCAATTGTCTTTCAGGAAATTCTTGATAGAATATTTCTCATTTAGAAAACTCGGATTCCTTCGTTTTACGTAAGTTTGAATAGTTTTTAATAAATTAGATCAAGTCAGACAACGAGAGAGATTTCATAACATATTAAAATTATTGTTCTTACAGAATTAGATCTTACATCAGAGTTTTAAATGTTGGAAAATACGCACTGACCTTTCGTTATCATATAGATTAATCATTTCTTTGCTAGATTAACAACAATTTCGAGATGGCGACATTCTATCCGAGAAGGTTAATATGGACATCGCGTCCTTGTGTTTTAATTTAAAATATTTAAATACTTTTCTATTTGCAGTCAACGTTATTATAAAATTGGAAGAGCTCCGCGTGCTCAATTCCAACAATTCATTTTCGAATAGTTTCTTAACTGTTATTGTAAAATTGGGATTTGTTATTTACGCGTATAATATTCCAATAGACGGTTCATCGAATAATCCGTAAGAGAAAATTTCAGTTATCCACGTTGCAGATGCACATCGATGACCTTCGCAGTACCGTGAAAGTTTATTGGTCCGAACGATTGCTATTATATTTGCCTCGGCTGACATATCTTTAGCGAATTACGATTTCGTTCTACCGCGTTTTATTGAGGGAATGACAGTACAATAATAGAACCCTGAATCCGCAGCAATTTTGAATATAATGAGCAGCTGTTGCGCGCCGCGAATGAAATGCTGGATGCGATAGAATCGTTTAAAGACGCTAAGATAATTTAGCTTTTGAACAGTCGCGCTTACAATTATTAATTAGTCTTCCGAGCAATATTGATGTTTTGAAAAATTGCAATAATCATTCGGATTACGATTAGAAAATCATTCCGCAGTTTAATTACGGAAAGATTTCTTGTTCGAGCAGGAATTTTATTAGCAATTATTTGGTAGAGAACAGTGCACCGATTAATGAAGATCTAAACGGACGCCGATCAATTAACAACGGAGTATAATTGCTGCGAAAAATTGTGCTTTTAATAGGAGCTGAAAATTATTCTGATTTAATGGGGACAAGCGTTTCGACATGATTTCGTAGTGAAATTGATGAGAAATTAGTTTTCCAAAGGTGTCGGAAAATAGTGTCTGATACATTCACGCTTAAGACGACGCTGACAAGGCCTGAATCTACCCGAGGAAGCGGGATAAGCAGATGTTGACCCTGACCTACATAATCGTTAATGCATCGAGGTATGGTGGAAGACATCAACACACGTAGTTACGGTATAATATTAATAAGAATAAGAAGCCGCATGATTTCTCTGGCCTGTTTGCAGGATACATTTTCACGGCCGACTCCGCGAGCTGTGTGAATAAATTAAATTAATTATCCGCGTGTCTATATGAAACGACAGTTTAGCAGTTCCTTGCGTACGCTTCTACCCACTTTGTAGAAAGAAAAGTATGTCAGCCGCGGCTGCGATCATAATTTTCCAACTGCAGCCGTAATATCCTCCAATTCCGACGAAATCCTCTGTCCCGAAATAATTTCGAAAGCATAAATTCGTGA